GATTCAGCTCAAACTGTTTTCTCAATAGACGATCTCTTAATTGCGATTTTCTTTTGCCTCCCGATAAAGGACCTCATTCAATTCAGACGAGTTTCAAAGCACTGGCGTCGTCTCATCAGCAATCCAAGCTTCTATATCCAGCGCAATCCCATTCCCAATCCACCCACCGGCATTATCCTGCAGTGTCTGCACTACGTGGCCCGTCTTCGGGTACAATACGTCCCCTTCACTATCACGGGCATGAAATCAACCAACCCACAGTTAGAAAAACTGAAGTTGGTCAAGGACATGTCCGACATCAGGATCCTGCACTCTTGCAATGGCCTCTTACTCTGTTCAAGCTTCAGGGCCCGTGATATCAATCGAAAGTACTATGTTCACAATCCCACCACCAATAAGTTTGTCCTACTTCCCAAACTAGACTCGGCGGGAATATGTGGGATGAGCTTGGCTTTTGATCAACTCAACTCTCCTCATTACAAAGTTGTTTGTGTCCATAACCAGCGCCAAATCGAGGTTTATTCATTGGAAACGGGCTCTTGGAGAAATCACGGGCAGACCCCACAAGTCCTGGTAGAGTTCGAAAATGGGGTGTATTGGAATGGAGCCATTCACTGGACTAGCATTGGATATAGAAATGATTCTCTATATTTCAATGTTGATAACCAGTTGTTTGGGACAATGCCAATTCCTCCTGCCTGCTGGAATTGTGTAGACTATTGTTATTTTGGAGAGTCTTTTGGACACTTGCACTATATCAAGGGGATTGGGCGGAGCTTGCAATTTAAGGTGTACGAGATGAGGAGGGACTATTCTGAGTGGTTTGTTAAGTACGAGGTAAATCTTTTGCCTCTTTTAATGGCTTATCCAAGTATGAATCTTACTCGTGTGAGCCCAATAATGAATTTATCTCGCTACGCATTTTCTATACTTTGTTTAGTTCGAGGTGAGAAGGAGGAAGGTTCATTCTTGGTTGTGCAGATTCCTGGAAAAGCCATTCAGTATAATGTCGCTTGTCAGACTTTCGGGATGTTTTGCGAGTTCGCGGGTTCTTATTTAGTAGGTCATTTAAGGTATTCGGGTGTGGATGCATTTCAATACGTTGAGACCCTTTGTTGTGTTTAGTGGTTTTTACAATTAATGTGCTTTCGTTCGTTGTGTGTTGCCAAGTTGAACAAAGTTTGGATTGCATTAAGTCTCTCAAGTTCCATGTTATCCTCGTGATATTAGTTTGTGTGTTGTTGCTTTTTCTTTTCTATCTGTGTTGCTGTGTGCGCAAGAAAGATTTGTGGTGATGTATGTACATTTGGCATAGTTGTGTTTTGGTCCTGTAACATAATTTGTGTGGAAAAGCTTAAATATGTACAACAAAAATGACAACCAAACTCCCCATCTTGAAGCTCATGATCCTAAGGATTTAAGAACCTACCTCTACTGCGCATACAAATGCGACTCGGGTTAGCAAGCATAAATTTAGTTAAACAAAACAAGCAAGCAAGCAAACAAATAATAACTAAGCATTAATTATAACTTGAACTCATATCACTTAATACNAAAGAGGACTTACAAGAATCTATATATATTGAGAAAGGATTGTCAATAAATCTTATTAACATTGTACGGGAATTAGAAAAATAAAAAAGAGCAAAAATGAAATGAACAATACATCAAATATTTCCAACATCAGCTGGAAACTCCATCTTCAATATCAGCTGGAAATTAAATTATAACCTGTTTCATTAAATTACTTTGTAACACCCCACTATCTTACTAGTATCAAAGTAAATTTTTCGTAAATTTTATTTCGAAAATACTTTTAAATTTTTCGAAATCATTTAAACTTAACTCGGAATGTTACTAAGAACTTATCTGTTTTAAAAATCCGTTTTTCTTTAACTTGATCCAAATACTGGTTTAGATATAAAGAAAACAGTTTATAAACTTCAATCAAACAAGCATGTAAATTTTACCAGACCTGACTAGTGATCCGGAGGAAATTCTGAAATCTATACATAAATACATGCAAGTTTGAAAACTGTAACTGTCAGCGGAAATGTAAAGCGTGACAAAATATATACAAATTGTACTGTATACAATAGTCCACAAAACGGCATCTAGCCGAGTCCACGACTACTACCACTGCAGCTGATCTCACGCCTGCGGCCCGACCCTGTAATCTGAAAAAA